GATCCTTATAGCATATTTCTTCCTCATTTCTACTTGTTAGAAGCTTAACTTCTTTCAAGGTTCAACTCAGATATCATGTCCTATGTGAGGCATTTCTTGATCAGCCTGTCAAAAAACATTTTAATTGCCCATTCTGTGCCAGGCACTGTGCTGAGGACACAAAGAAAGCTCTAGCAATGTACATATGAGAGAGAGAGAGAGAGAGAGAGGGAGAGAGACAGAGAGAGAGAGAGAGAGAGAGAGAGAGAGAGAGAGAGAGAGAGAGAGAGAGAGAGAGAGAGAGAGAGAGAGAGAGAGTAAACAGGAAATAATCTCAGAGGACAGGTACTGGAAATGGGTGGGGTTCAAGAAAGGGCATTGCAGAAGGTGGGTTTTGAGTGATTTTTAAAGGAAGCCCAGAGGTAGAAACAAGGGACAGCCAGTGAAAAGGCTCAGGGCCCTGAAATGAAGTATTGTCTGTGAACAATAGCAAGAGGTTCAGTGTGGCTGGACTGCAAGGTGTCTGGAGGGGAGTAAGGGGTAAGAAGACTAGAAAGTTAGAAAGAGGCCAGATTAGGAAGGGTTTTAAAAGCCAAACCAAGGATTTTCTTTTTTATCCTAGAGGCAATATGTAGTTACCAGTGTTTTCTGAGGAGGGGATAATATGGTGAGACATGCTTTAGGGAGATCACTTTGAGAGCTAAGTGAATGATGGACTGGAGGGGGTAAGACACCTATGGCAGAGAGATCAACCAGAAATCTACTGCAATGGTCCAGATGTGAGGTAATGAAGGAAGTAAAGAGTATCTTTCCTTCTCCGGCTCATTTTACAGATGAGGAAACAGACAAACAAAGTTAAGTGACTGGCCCAAGTTCACACAGCTAGTAAGTGTCTGAGGCCAAATTTGAACTCAGGAAGATGAGTCTTCCTGACTCCAGGCCTGGTACTCTATCCAGTGCACTACCTTGCTGCCCAATACATATGTGTATGTATGCATGTGTGTATATGTGTGTGTGTGTGTATATATATATATATATGCATGCATACATTTATATGATATGAAGGTAGAAACAAGACTTGGCAAGAAATTGGATATATAAAATGAGTGTGAGTGAGGAATCAAATGAAGGAACAAGATTTCAAGCTTAGGTAACTGGGAAGATGGTGGTACCCTTGAAAGTAATAGAGAATTTGGGAAGAGAGGAGAGTGTAAGGGGTAACAAGTTCTGTTTTGAACATGTTGAGTTTAAGACAATTACAAGATATCTAGTGGTGATGTCTAACAAGTATTTGGTGATATATGGAGCTCAGGAAAGAGGTTAGGGGCACAAAATTAGATTTCAGGATCTTCTACATAGTCACGATAATTCAATCCATGGGAGCTGATGACATCACCAAGTTACATAGTATAAAAAGAGAAGAGGGCCCAAGACAGATCCCTGGGGGAAATCCACAATTTGTGGAAGAAGATCCAGCAAAAGAAGGCAAATAGCAATGATCCCACAGTTGTTAGTACATTCTCCCATCTTAAATTATTTTGTATGTAGTTATCCACCTATACATCGTATCCCCTTCAGTAGAATTTAAGTTCCCTAATGGTTTCATTTTTTTCTTTGTATGCTCTGTGCCTAACACAGTGTCTTGCATACGGTCTAATACATGTTTATTAACCTGATTGAATTAAGCTCTAAAAATAAGAATGAAATGATGAAAGAATGAAAACCATGACTGAAAAAGTTGCCAAAATGAAATGTCTAATGTCAAAAAAGTTGCCACAATAAAATGTCTAATGTCAAAATACATACATAGAATAGAATAGTGGTGCCAAACAAATAGAAACTTATCCCTTCGTGCCCCATATTGACTTAAAGAACCACAAATTAACATTATTCATGTTGTGTTGTATTTTTATTTATTTTGTTAAACATTTCTCAATTCCATTTTAATTTGATTCAGGCTATACTGGGGAGTTTGGTAGCCTATAGGGTGCAAGTCTGACACTCTAGCATAGAAAATATACATGGGAAGTCAGAACGGTACAAAATTATCACACGTCACATAAGTCAAGAAAATCCAAAGAGGAAGTGATAATTTCAGAAAAAAAAACCTAAATTCAAATTAGAAACCACTAAGAGAGATAAAGAAGAGAATTATTCATATGTATAAAATTATTATTAACAGTAGGTGAAGATGAATATTTAACATCTAAAAACTTAATGGCATAGCATCTAAGTATATAAAAGAAAAGTAATTGGAAAATAATTTCCAAAAATAATTGGTAACATAAATTTTGATAGTAGGGGAGTTCAATATCTTACTTTCAGAATCTGATAACTGAAATAAATTAATAACAAGAAAGGTTAATAAAATAAAATAACAATAAAGATTAATAAAATGCTAAGACAATTGGATTTGACAGATACATAGAAAGAATTAAATAAAAGGTAACAAGTATATCGTGTTTCAACTTTATGTGGAATAGTTACCAAATGTTATCATGTTCTAAGGCAAAAATGTAATTTTAATTTTAAAATTAATTTTAAATATAAATTTAAAATTAGTGTTTAAAAAGTAATCAACAATGAACATCTGATTGAAAGATATAGGTCTACATAAAAGTTAACTATTCATTGAATAATTCCTGAACAATAAGATATTGAAATCATAATAAAAATATTTAAAATAATAATATAAATACAAAATATCAGAATTTACCAAGCACATGCAAAGTAGCACTCAGAGACAAATGTATACCCTTCACTTCCAGAGAAATGTTAAAAATTAATTTTTACTGATTCCTATTTTTGTTTGTCGTTTCTTTATTTTTTGTTTTAGTTTTTTGGTAAGGCAATCAGGGTAAAATGACTTTCCTAGGGTGGCACACTAGTAGGTGTCAAGTGTCTGAGGCCAGATTTGAACACAGGTCCTCCTGACTCCAGGGCCAATTCTTTATCCACTGTGCCACCTAGCTGCTCCAATTCTTATTGTTTCTGCAACATAGTCATTCCCAATATATCTCCGCCCCAATATTAGACCTTCTTCAACAATAAAGAGTGAAGCAAAACCAAGGGATACAGTGACCATTCTGATAATGCAAGACAATTGCATCCTTCATCCAAAACAGAGAAGAATAAATTGTTTGCAGTTTAAAATTTTAAAATGAACAAATTAAGACACTACAAGCAAAGCAGGAAATTAATAAAAGGAAAAAGTAAAAAAAAGAATAAAACAATTGAATTGATAAATAAAAGGAAGCTATGTTTTAAATACTAACAAAGCTGAGTTTTAAATTATAAAATTTATTCAGAAAAGGCAGAAGTTATTATCAAATTACAAAATCAATTAGGAAAAGTCATATCAAATGTAAAAGAAATAAAAAGAACTATCAAAGATAACAAAAGTAAGATTATAAAAGAAATGGATGAATATTTACAACTTTATAAAATACTTGAAGTGGCAAAAGAGGAATTAAAGAATCTAAATAAATCAAACTCAGAAGCATCAATTACATGAATTATTAACTGAATGTCATATAAAAGACCTCAGCACCAAATATATTTTCAAATGAATTTGATATTCAAAGAATATTCATAATATTTATTCATTCAAAGGATAAGTACCCCTATACTACATAAACTTCTTTCAAAAATTCTTTCTATGAAGCAAATGTTATTTGATCACAAACCTGGCAAAAATACAGCAGAAAAAGAAAAATGGTAAGCCAATATCATATCAATAAATATTAATATAACTAAACATGTTAATAAAATAGGAAGATTATAGTATCATTTCCAAAAAAACCAAAATGTTCATTATGATCAAGTAGGATTTATACCAGAAATACAAGAATGATTCAGTAACAAGAGAACAATCAGTATAAAAATTACATCAGTAAGAAAAACATCTGATTTTGTCAGTAGATATAAAAGATGACAGTTTCTGATGACTTAAAGTTGTAGGTCACCCAAAGGATATAGAAGATGGATATGGTAGGTGCATACTGAAGCATCCTGTCAACACAGGAGAAATAGAATAAATAAAAAAGTCCTTGATCAATTTAGTTGCCTTTGAAAGCTACTAGATGAACAGGAGTACTCCTGTACAAGAAGTGCATTTAGATTGGTTGATGAAACTTACAAGCTAGTTCATAGGCTAGAGATTTGAGCATCTGGCATCTTAGAATTGAAGCCTTCTAGCTAAGTTCTTGAGGAGGAATTGATTGGGAAATGGGTGAGAAAAGCCAGAGGCCTATGCCTCTGCATCAATGTGAGTCTCTTTCCCTGATCCTTACCTCCTATCCCATCCCCATATACACAAAGACATTGCCCAGAAGAGGATCTAGTAAACCTCACAGGACCAAAGGATTGAGACCTCTCATTGATATTCTAGCAGAATCCCTGAGATTGCAGCTGCTAGCAACAGTGTCTCCAGTAAGAGGATTTCCAAGAACTGTGAAAGTTCTCTCCAAAAGGAGAAATGTACTTGGGAAAGAGTATGTCGTACACTTTGGTGAGCACTTAGAGAAGAAATGATTGATCAATTTTAGTTGTAAAAGTTCGCTAAAACAA